CTCCACTACAACAGCCTCTGGCCACAGTGCGTTGGTGATGGCCCTCACGTCGAGAACGATCTTACGGCGCTCCTCCTTCTCTTGAGGTGTCGCGTCGAGCCACTTACCAAAGGCGACCAATTCCGAGTGTAAAGCCAGCATTGTAGGAAGGCTCGGATCGGGGGTCTTCCACGGCGCACCACCACCCTGCTCGAATTTATCGGCCGAGACGTAGTCAGGCGCGACGTCAGGAAATGAGGATTCGGAGGACGGTCGAGTGGACCGACGCCGCTCAGCTAATGCATGACGGAAATTGTCGTTGAAGACGATCTGAAGTTCACCGTCAAGTCAACGTCACTGCGCCACGAAATTACTACCTGTTTCTGCTGCCGCTTCAGATCGGCCTCCAGTACAGGATCGTGGAGCAAGTCATCGATAGAGGCCATCATCGTGCCAGGTATCAAGGAACTCAACAACAAGGCGTGCGAGAGGAGGAGGGGCTCGAATGGCGCATGATAAATCTCGCTCGCCCGAAATTAAGTCCCCACCCATCACCGATGGATTTCGTTTTTGATTTCAATTGATGATGATGTATGTATGCTGGTTGATGACGCTTGTCCGGTCGAGACATGTGACCGGCCCTTGCCTGCGGTCTTATTCGTGTAGTACCCTCATAGAGGGGTATAAGTTTAGGTATGACGTGCAAGTTCCCCAGTGACTATCGAACGAAAGAGTTAAACACGTAGAGACACCGTGATGGCTCCTGGCCCCGAAGGGGAAGAAAAGGCAGTAGAAAAAACAACACAGTTTACAGCCGTTCAATGGTTCAGCAAATGGCCTCCTCGCTATCATCGCTTATTATTCCTTGTCGAGGATCGGAATAGGATATCCCTCAGCCTCGAGGCATGCTTAATGCCCTGTAAACGGTCGAGAGTGAATCTATCTATCTGGCTGCCAATGCTAGCTCGACACTCCGGGACCACCGTAGCGAGGAGGAAGATGCACTGAAGGGCCTGAGAGGACGGCAGCGTGGTAGAGCAACTGCTGCCTGCCATGAGTTCATCACCTGTTCCGTTGCCGCATCCTCCTGTTCGAACTTGTGAGTTCGCAGTACTGATGTAAGCACACTAAGGCCTCCGTCGACCGCCAGGAAATCCCGACACAACTGGGAAAATAATTCCGGACATTTCCTGTGCGTGAAAATCACCCACCTTGCTATCGTTGGTCATGAGGGTCAATAGAAGCCCACAAGCATTCTTGCAGATCTGCCGATCGTCCACTGAGTATCGGGCTAAGACCTGGACCAAGCTGGGCAGGAGGGCCGAGCCTAAGGGGACAATTTCGTGGCGCAGTGACGCTGACGATTACCTCCAGTGAGGATCGGATTGTCATGAGAATCCTCATTAAGAGATATGTTCCACATCGCGCCAAGCATTGCCCTCACTTCCTGCTGCATTTCCACCGATAGAGGGCATCTCGTAGAGGACTTCAACAACTAATGTGGCGGAAGTGTGGTATGCACGCATGCACATCATCATCGAGTCTCCTACCTCCTCCAGTTTTTCCGGCATACATGAGAAGGCCTTGAAGATAGTAGCCTTAGTGAGCAGAGGATTTCGAGGAAGAGCCGACGAGTCCCACGAAAAAGACACCACTTCCATCGTCTGAACAGAGGTCCCTGGTTCGATCCCTGCATCCGACATCATCCCCTACCTTGGCGAACGCTGATGCAACCATAGCGTCACTCGAAGCCGCTACTTCCTCTAAAGTCGTCCTGGCAGCCTCCGCCTCCTCCCTACTACTACATGACGGCACCGCGTAACGACAGTGGCTCGAGAGGTACTCCAATCGGGCTACCAGACCTGAGAAGGAGGAGGAGGCTAATCTAGACTAGACCCGAGGATAGATGAATCCTCACCTGTACTGCTATTGATTTCTGATAGTCTACTATCGTCCAGATCTAATCGTGAGGTGGCCGCC